AAACCACCACAAAGGTTACCAAGGAGTCATAAAGGTGAAGAATAAGTACAATTTAATCAGCAAAGCAGAAGTGCTACTCAAGATGCTGGGAAATAGGCACTTATGGAAAAAAACAATTCAGCTGTGCAACACTGACTGTAGCTCACAGGAGCAGCAATCATTTTCAGTTGCTTCAATTTACTACTGGAAAGAAACCAAACTCTTTGTAATAGCATACAAAAAAAAACTGAAACACTTAGGAATCAATCAATCAAACAAAGAAAGTAAAAGATCCATACATTGAAAATTACAGTAGGATGAAAAAGGAGACTGAAAAGGGTATCAGAAAATGGAAACATCTCTTGTTCAAGGGAGGGAAGAACCAACACAATCTTGGGTTGTATCCAAGATTTAGTGAAAATAGCCAACCTCCCAAAATGGTTATACAGATTTAATGCAATCCCAATCAAAATATCACTAGCATACCTCACATAACTAGAGAAAACATTCCTAAAATTCTTTTGGAAACGGAAGAGACCTAGAATCTCAAAGGCAGTCCTGGGCAACAAAGGCAAGGAAGAGGCATCACAATCCCTGACCGGAAATCATACTATAAAACTACTGTAATAAAATAAGGATGATACTGGCAAAAAATAGCTCAGAGGACCAGTGGAACAGATTAGAAGATGTGGAGACAACTACAGGCACACTCAGTCACCTTATCTTTGAAAAAGGGGCCAAATACGTTCACTAGAAGAAAGATGGCCTCTTTAATAAATGGTTCTGGAAAAACTGGCTTTCCACATGCTGAAAACTAAGCCTAGATCCATGTCTGTCACCATGCACTAAAGTCAAAATAGATCAAGGTCTAAATACTAAAACAGAAACACTAAACCTGCTGAAAGAGAAAATAGGTAGAACTTTTGAAGACATAGGTGTAGGCAGAGAGTTCATGAACAAAACCCAGTTCACAGGGGAAATACTACAAAGAATCAACAACTGGGATATCATTTTATATTAGAAAGCTTTTGCAAAACAAATGAAATCACTCAGTGAAAAAATAGCTTAAAAAATGGAAAAAAATTATAGCCAGTTGTCCCTGAGACAAAGGACTTAAATCTATAACATACAAAGAACTGAAAAACCTCAGATCCCCCAAATTTAAAGACCCAATCCAAAAATGGGCAGCTGAGATGAATACACACTTCTCAGATTAAGAAATATGAATGGCAAATAAATATATGAAAAAATGTTCAACATCATTGGTCATTCGAGAAATGCAAACTAAAACAACACTGAGATTCCATTTCACCCCAGAAAGAATGGTTATCATCAAGGAATCAATAACAAATGTGGAGGGGCTGTGGGGAAAAAGGAACACTTTTCCACTTCTGGTGGGTGTATAGACTGGAAACCACTATGGAAATCAGTCTGGAGATTCCTCAGAAAACTAGGACTAGAAGTGCCATTCACCCCAGCTATTCCCCTTCTGGGTATTCTCCCAGAAGAATTAAAAATGTCATACTACAGTGATATATGTACACCCATGTTTATAGCAGCACAATTTGTCATTGCTAAATCTTGGAAACAACCCAAATGCCCATCAACTGAGGAATGGATAAAAAGATGTGGTATTTTTATATAACAGAGTATTACTCAGTTATAAAAAAGATAAACTCGAAGCTTTTATAGGCAAATGGATGCAACTAGAGACCATACTCTTACGCGAAATAAATCAGGCACATGTGTAAACATTGTATCGTCTCCCTAGTGTAAGAACCTGAAAGAGTGAATAAAACCCAAAAGGTACAATAGAGATTATGAGAGGGAAAGAAATTGCTCAAAGGGAAGGAACAACTGGGATGAGGGAAAGGAGAAAAAGAAAGGAAGGGTATATATATATATATATATATACACACAGAAGAATAGCTGGGATAACTGTACTGCTGATGTCTATTGGTTTATTGAAAGAAACAGTTAATGCTTAATTTTTTTACCAGTTTTGCGTGCTTATATCTAGTAATCTGAACAACTAATTTGAAGACAACAATATGCAATGTAACAACCCTTGGTGAATTCTTACCATCTTGTTTAGTGAAGCTCTGTATCATTTCTAATGTTTTTATTATTATTATTTTCATTCTCTTTAATGGTTTGATCAATCTTGCATTCTTACATCTTGTAATCTGGAGCAACTTCATTGAAGATAACAGTATGTAATATAACAATCACTGTTAATTCCTATCATTGTTTTAAAACCCTGTATCATTTTTATAGTTTCATATTGTTTTGTTTTTGTCTATGTTGCTGTTACTTTGTTATTTTTAAATTCTCTTTAAAATAAAAAAATGATTTTAGAGTTTCTAGGTAAAACTTCAAAAAAACCTTCATTGAGAATAGTAGGAAAGTATACATCATCTCTCACGTATAGTCTGAGGAAATATTTAATTTTAAGATCATTTTTCCTGCTTTTTATGTATTGAAAAGTAAGAAAGGAAGAAAAAAACTACCCCTCTCCCAACAGAGTCTTGTGTGGTTCACTGCTTTGGAGTGAATGTTAAGAGTACTACCTTCTCTGACACAGTCCCTATCTTAGGGTCTTTTAAATAACTTACTTATTCTAGGATTAAGATAAATTAGAATTGGATGAGATCAAACATTATAAAAGATAACTAAAGTAGTATTTTAAGATGAGGAAAAATTGCTATATAGAGAAAATATTACACTTATTTATAAATTGCTGATTGATGCTCTTGATTTAATATCATTGCTACATTTAAATATATTTTTATTTCTTTATAACTACTGTCAATGTCATAATAGTGATAGTTTCTATCACTAATTGGAATAAATATTTTCCTATGTAGGGCTGAACTGGTAACTTAATGCTTTTCGGGTAAATGGGAAATTGTTCATTAATCCCCCAATTTTTTCTCTGTTCAGCATGCATTTTTATGTGCCAAAGACCTGAGATTATGGAAGGTAACATGGTCATTTGGTAAAATTAGTAAGGTATAACACAGTGCTTTGAGAAAGATGAGAGGTGTTTGCAATTTGTGCAGTGTACTCCTCTGTGGTGGAACTTCAAAATCAGCCACTGACAATGCTACATTGTGGCTTTAACAATAAATTGTCACGGTTTCCAGGATCTACATATGTGACAGTCATTAATTTGGGCTTTCCTATCAAAATTATAATTTGACAGGGACTACAGTGTTGCAATACTTAGTTGAAAAAATGACTACGGAGGATTATTTCAACTAAGTGATTGAAATATTCTGCAAACTATCAGAATTAAAATGATATAATTGACAAAAAGTAGAACAAAGACTCACAAAATACTTTGTCAACAAGTCATTTCTAACAGCAGGTTGAGTACAAAGTATCTTTTGAAATTCACTTTGTGTTTAGGAATCAGACTGTGATAGCTAACTGTTGTGTCAAGTAACTTGAGTAAGCCATGCCCAACTGATTTGATCAGCAGCCTGGGTGTGGCTGAGGGATTTACTGAAGACAGAAGCCCCACCCTGGGTGTGAATGGCACCAACCAATAAACTTGTGGTTTGAAGGGAATGAAAAGGGGAACAAACAAGGAAGTCTTGCTTCCATTGCTTCTATTTCTTAAAAGGAGCTCATCTTTGCCTCGGACTTCAGATTCCTGATACCAGTGCAGACTCTTCGACCTGAGAGACTTACGTGGGACTCTACGGTGAGCTCCAGGTCCTTGACCTTCGACTGGATCCTTCAGATCCCCAGCGCACAGATGGCCCATTTGCATTCATCCACACCTGACTCTGTGGGTGGCCACCATAAGCACACCTTGTAAACCCTTATTTATATATCTTACATTAAATGTGCCTCTCCAGTGAGCACTGACTGATACAAATGTTAATGAGGCTCTGCTCACACTCAGTTTTTCAGAATGAAGATCCAACATTTATAATGGTACTATATTTTGGTCTACCAGAGCTTCACAGATTTAAATAAGAAACTCTGCATCTTTTACAACACAAAGACTCATTAGTTTTTTGGTTTATTTTCATCTCTCTTCCTGGAGGATGCACACAGATATAGTGCCAAGATTTGTGCAAATGTTTTCAAGCACTGTGTACACTCTTGCCCACATGGACCTGTTTCTCTTTTGTAACCCAAAACATCCGTTATCATTTCATGGCTTGTGACCCTGAGGCTCACAAATCCGTATTATTCCTACAGTGTTTCTAAGAGTGAAAATAGGTGTTTGGCATCTTAATATATAGTTTTTGTTAAATTTGAGGCTATAATTTATATTTAATATCATGGTAAATAAAAAAATAAGTACACCAATCTTAAGCATTCTGGTCAAAATTACTACAAATTATTTTGCATGTGAAAAGAAAAAGTTTAATATCTAGTTGGAAATTTCAGTTTTTTTAACAAGTCACGTTACATGTTATTAGGGTTACTTCAGCAGCAAACCACAAATGTTCAAATACCATCACGCCTAGGTTTTACATTTTTGTTTTTTTGTTGGTTTTTTTTCCAGTACCGGAAATCGAACTCACGACCTTGTGCCTGCCAGGCAGGCGCTGTGCTGCTGAGCTAAATCTCCAGCCCCTCGCCTAGGTTTTATGATGTTTGACTTTAGAATCAACATTTGGTCATTTTCATTATTAATTAATAAGTTTGATAAAAATTCCAATTCGTCATTTATAAGAGGAGAGAATATTTATAATACAGGTATACAATATTTTGAAATTTCAGCAGTCTAAAGTTTTATTCACCATTTGCTTTTAAATAATGAACTAAATTAATCTAGTTTAAGTTATCTAAATGTAAAAAGAAAAAAACAACTTATTAACCAATATAGCCACTAAGAAATAAATTATCAAAAAACATGAGCAACTTCCTCCTTCCATTACAAATGATCAAAAACCACATGTAAAAATATAGTATTTCCCTAATCAACTGAAAACAAAATATACTAGGTAAAAGACTAGTAACTCCAAAAGAGACATAACACAAAAATGATCCAGGCATACTTTAGGTAGAAGTGACAAGCATATTTCTTTTATTGTTATTGGTGTTTCCAGTATGTTCCAGTAATGGCAGCATCTGCTCTTATTTGATCCCACTCTTAGCCATGGTCTGAGCCCTGCACACACCCTTCCCCTTCACCTCAAAGGGAACACCTTTGTATGTGGCCACACAGTCGTCACTGGTATACAGGTCAGGCTGGATTTGCTCCCAAATCTTCTTTTTAGGATTTAGCTCCTTGTCGGGCTCTCCTGTTGGGAGAGAAAAATCAATTAATCAATCAATCAATCAAGAAAAACCAACCAACAAATATACAGAAATATAAAAGCAAGCAGCCCCAAGGGTTCATAGTGAACTGTCTTGACAGCACTTTCCAATCTTTAACCTCATCAAAATTTCAATATTTATTTTATTTTTATGATGTCAGCAGTTTAAATTCTTAATTGGTAAAACAGATTTTAATCATTTCCTTATGAGTGTTAAATAGTTTTTATTTGTTATCATAGTATTTTTGCGGTAAAATAGCTCAATGAATTTATTCCTCAAACTATTAAAAATGTAAAATACTTATTTTATTGTTACATATAAAGAAAAACTGTGTAGATGAGGGCAAATTTTGACATGCTACGTTTTTTCATTTGGCAGAAAGAGCTTATGCTTTATCTACGTTTCAACATAGAACGATGGCTTAAGTGTTCGGATTGTCCAGCTGGATAAGAAAACTGCTTTGGACTTCATTTGCTATCCTTTGTAGGAAGGAAAGAGACAGAGGGAGTAGTGAGGACACAGGACCAGCATTTTCCAAACCCTGGGAACATGTTTTTTCACACTTACACAACAGCCTCGATTCTCCTTTTAAACATAAGGAAATCAAAGGAGAGAGAAAAGTTGCTGGAAGTCACAGAATCAAGTGGGCCAGGATTTGTTGTCAAAGTTCATGTTCTGCTACTGAAGCACTCTATGTCCTGAAAAATTAAGCCTTTGAAAAGAAGAAAGTCTTTGCCTGTGTGGATAATCCCCCTAATCTCTACTTATAGTAACTCATGCTATAAACTTTACAACCCATAGAAGACAAGTAAGTAGACTATAACTGGTCTGGGCTTAAAGACAAAAGAATTCTATTTAATGATAAAAAAGCTGAGAGTAAAGTTTAATGCAAGTTTAGCTAGACTTTAATAATACTTGGAATGAAGAAGCAGTTCAGGAAAAAATGAGGAAAAGTGATTCATCTCTTAATTAGGCATTAAGAGCTACAGAGCTTCTGGATCTTTTCCCCAGTGACTCTTAAGTAGAAATCTCTTGGTATTACTTTATCTTTTAATTAGCAGAACTACCTAAATCTCATATTTGGGTTACATCTTATTAGCTAAAGTAGAATCTATTCTCTGTCCTTCATTAGTTCTTCAGAGACTGTGAAACTGGACATGCATTGCTCTCTACAGATTTTCTAAGATACCAGTACAGTTAACTGCATGACGTCTATAGTAGGAGAACATGCAATGAAATATAAGTGAAAGATGAATGTAGATGACTTCTCTTTCCCCTTTAGGATCACTTGACTAGACAAGAGAGAAATTCTAACAAACAGAATGGAAAAGATGACCATGTGCAAGTGTACTTCCCCCTAGATGTACAAGATTTTTACCTTTTTCTAAAACATTCTTGAGTCTAAAAGCTTCATCTGGAGAACAGGTTTTGTGGGGAAGTGTGCACTCCAGAATGCTGGCGAGATCAATGCAGAGCTAACAGAGTAGACCAAGCGTGCATTCAGATCTGCAGCCTTCCTCCAGAAAATACTGCCAAACCAGGAAGTTCAGGAAATAGGGTGTCTCGATGTCATGTGCAAGTTCCTTACTAAACAGTGAGAGTAAATTCTTGCAGAATGGAAGACAAAAATCCCAAGAAAAGCTGTGGTATAGCACAAAACTCAGCTTCCTTATTTTGTGTACACAATAGTCACACTCTCATGCACACAAAATATTATTCACAATCATATACAAGATAAATGCATACAATCTGCTATGCTGGTACCACACTAAGTGCTTTACACATATTCACTCATTCAGTCTTCTCAGTGCATATTTAATATATAACACTGTGATCATCTTACAGAGGATGAAACAAAGGCACAAAGGTTACAGCTAAGAATTGAAAAAACCAAGAGTGGGCAGTTTCAAAAGTTAAAGGTCAGAAAACTCATGACAGAGGGACCACTGAAATCTCCTCACAGATACAAACACTGAGGCTCAGGAAGGTTCCCAGGCCCCCAAGTCCTCAAAGAGTGAAGACCTGAAAATGCTGTACTTCACACACAATTTCAATGATTTTCAAAAGGCAAAGATGTGAACTAAAAATAAATTAAAACTAATAACAGGAATCTCTAAAGCTTGAATGCTACTGTTAAAAAAGGATTCAATTCTTGATCACTATGTATGTAGTTGGGAGACTTTAACGAATCATTAAATGAAACAAAAAATTATGAAAGGGCTTAATAAAGAAGTGTTAGACAGATATCTATTATAAATATCAGTGCTAGAAAGTTAGCACTTTCAATTTTCAAAGCTAATTTTAGCAGCAGATATTCCACATTCTAAAATTTACAATCTTACTTGTCTGTAACTATATGAGGAAAAAAATTACATTTTTTTTTTTTTTTGGTTTTTCTCCGGCACCGGGAACCAAACTCACGACCTTGCGCTTGCCAGGCAGGCGCTTTGCCGCTGAGCTAAATCCCCAGCCCCTGAAAAAAATTACATTTTAAAGATGCAAATTATCTTAAGAATAAGTAACTATTATTACAGACATATGTTGTTTTATTATGCTTTGCTTCATTGAACTTTGGAGATATTTTGGTTTTTATAAATTAGAAGTCTGTGGCAACCCTGTCTTCGGTGAGTCTAGCAGTGCCATCTCTCTGAAAGTGTGCACTCACTGAGTCTGTGTTGTATTTTGCTAGCTCTCTCAAGATTTCAAGCTTTCTATTTGTTATGGTGATGGGTAATCAGTGATCTTTCATGTTGTGACTACAATTGTTTTAGGGCCCTACAAACCATGTCCAAATAATGCAGCAAACTTGAACTGATACATGTGCGTGTGTGACAAGTTTCCTGACTTGTACCTCCCCTCCACCTCTGTCCCTCACCTTCAATACTGTACTGAAACTATACTGAACTTCACTACTGGACTAGACTGGACAAAATTAGGCCAATTAATTACCCTACAACAGCCTCTAAGTGACCATGGGACAGGAATAGTCACCTGACTTACTTTATATCAAAGCTGAAAGTGATTAAGCTCAACAAGGAAGGTATGCTGGCACCTGAAATACGCCCAAGGCTAGGATTCTTATGACAAATAGTCGAGGTGTAAACGCACAGGAAGGGTCCTTGAAGAAAATTAGAAGTGGTACTCCAATGAACACATGAATGATAAGAAAGTGCGATGTCTTTACTGCTGATATAGAGAAAGTTGGAGTGGTCCAGAGAGATCAAACATTCCCTTAAAACACAGGTCTAATCCCAAGTAAGGCCCTCACTCTGCAAATCCACGAAGGCTGAGTGAGGTGAGGAAGTGCAGAAGAGAAGTTTGAAAGCAGCAGAGACTGGTTCATGGGAGGGAAGGAAAGAAGTTTCAGGATCTTGAGCTCCAGCCAGTTCCCAGAAGATTCAGCCAAGTGATGAAGGTGGCTACACTAGGCCACAGATTTGCAGTGTGGACACAATAGCTCTATGCTGGAAGAAGATGCCACTTAGCACTTTCGTGACCAGAGAAAAGTCAACAGATGGCTTCAAAGAACAGGCTGGCTCTCTTCTTGTTAGGGGCCAAGACAGCTATGACTTTAAGGTGAACCCAGTGCTCAATACGGTTCCCAAAATCCTAGAGCCTTAAGAATTACACTAAATGCATTCTGTCCATGCCCTATAAATGGAACAGCACATCTGTTTACAACATGGTTCACAGAATACATTAAGCCCACTGTTCAGACTACTACTCACAAAAACCAACTCTCCTCAAAATATTCTTTCCAGTCAGCGAAGAGCTCTGATGAAGATATAAAATGCAATTCCCACTGTTTTTAGGTCTGTTAACAGTGTCCATCCTTTCAGCTCAAGGAAGAATTGCAACTTTCAAATTTTATCACTTAAAAATTGCATTTTGTAAGTCTATTGCTACCATGGGTAGTAACTCCTCTGATAGATCCAGGCAAAATAAATTGAAAACTTTCTGCCAATAGTTCACTATTCTACACCTCATTCAATCCACTCATGACGCACAGGAAGAGACAAAATATCAGCATCAACAGGGCTTTAGAAGATGCGATTCCAAACCTCATGGATAACTTTGACAGGCTCCAGGCTTCAGTGGGAAGGAACTGCACTTCGGTAGAAACAACAGCAAGAGAACTGGAGCTGTTGGAAGTGGAGCCTGAATCCCAGGATAAAATTTTAATGTGTAAGGAGTTTTTCTTCTTAGGGCTGAACAAAGAAAAAGGCTTTCTGAGATGCAATGAATGCTAGAAATGATACCACAGCATTCAAAATATTATACAGATTTAGGTAAGAATGTAGTGGCAGTCAGCATTTGAGAGGATACAGTTCAGTTTTGCAAAGAGGTCTATTATAAATGCTATCGAACAGTAACGTATGCTACAGAGAAACCCTTCATGACAGGAAGATTCAGTCAGTGTGGGAAATGTCACTACTGTCTTATTCTAATAAAGAATAGCCACCCCAGCCTTTGGCAACCACTATCCTGATCAGGCAGCAATCATAACACTTAGGTGAGATCCTCCAGCAGGTAAAAGATTGTGATTGACCAAAGGCTCAAAGGATTACTAGCACTTTCACCAATAAGCATTTTTGGTTTGTTTGTTTGGTTTTTTGAGACAGGAGCTCACTCTGTAGTGCAGGCTGGCCCTGAACTCACTATGTCGCTCACGCTGGCCTCAAACTGTTAGCAATCCTCTTGCCTCAGCCTCCTGAGTGCTGGGATTACAGGGGTGCGCCACCACACCTGGCCCTAATAACTGTTTTTAAAACTAAGGTACATCTGTTGTTCTTACCCATAATGTCATTACACACTGAGTAGTCATAATACAGTGTAAAATAACTTTTATATGTATTAGGAAGCCAAAACATTGGTGGGATTTGCTTTATTGCCATATTTACTTATTGTGCTATTCTAGGATTGAGCCTGCACTATCTCCAAGGTATACCTGTACTTTGAAAGTTTTTCAGACCACTAAAAATTA